AAGAAACAGATCAATATGGAGTCAGGTTCTTCCCTGACTACAAGTACTACATGCCAGGCCTTGAATCAGATGCTGGTAACAGGGAGATGGGACACTTAGTGCCTGTTAACAAGTTGCTTACAATGTAGTGAGGAAGACATAAAATGCACTACAGTATTGTGATACTGTAACTGCAATATGCTAGTACAATGTAACAAATGCTGTGATAGCAGTATCCACATCTTGCTATGGAGAAAGGGACTACCCCTTTCTGCATACCACATAAAGCAGAGTAGGAGCTTTGAAAAGTTTTGAGAGACATCCCAGAGGAATTGGGGAGGCAGTGAAATCTGAGTGTTGAGAGATAAGTAGGGTTGGCTTCTAAATGGAAAACATTAGTAGAGGTGTTGTCCTGAAAGGCAAGGAGATTTACAAAGGAATGGTAGTACAGTTTTGGTGTGATAAGGCCTAGAAAGTATCCATTGACTTTGGTTCGTGGGAACTTATTGTTGACTGTGAGGAGCATCTAATGGTAGAGAAGAGCAGTAGGGTCAAAGCCACTGACCATAATTAAGGAAGAAATGGGAATAAAGGTCATGAGTTTAGGTCATAAAGAGTATTTGATGTGAAAGGAAGAAGACATTCTTAAAGGTCGATTTAAAGTAGATTCTTACTCAATGTTTATATAACAAAACATTGGATAGGGTGCCAGAACACTTATCCCTCTAACATTCTGCACTAAAAAAATGATTGCTTCACTGCCTTTGCTTAAAACACTTTAAGTGGCTTCCAGGATAGTAGCTTCTAGGATGAAGAGTAAAATCCTCAGTATTACCTAATACTAGGGTGGCCGTATAATTTAGCATTCAAACAGGGTTACTTCCTTCTTGGTGTGAGAGAGGGAGCTATTGATAATTATGCTGGGACACTGGCATCAATGGAAATTACCCTAGACAAACTTGGACATACCTAAAAGTTCTTCTCTTCATGAGCTGGCTCCTGAATGACTGTGGCTTCAACTCACACCATACTTGGTCTTGCTCTCTCCTCTCCAACCATGAAATTTTTTATTCAGTCCTGTTTACCATGCTGTCTCTTAATAGGGCCTTTGCATATGCAGTTTCCTTTGTCTGGACTTCTGTCATCATTGGGTTAACTCCTCCTTAAACCTCAGATCTCTAATTCATTTCTTAGGGAAATCTTCCCTATCCGGTTTTGTAAATGTGAGCTTTTACAAAAAAACCCCCAAAACCTGTGACTATCCAACAAATGCGTATGTGTGAACATAATTTAAGGATTCAGAGATCTCCAAGACTTCTTACGAAAAAATTAACTTCAACTATTTTAACTGCTCCTTTGATATTTATCTTGATATCTAAATGGCATTATTGACTTTGTGCCATGGAAGATGAGGAATTGACTTTTGCATTTTGTTCTTCATAACAAATTTTTCTTCCTCTTATCCTCCCAATAGTCATACATTACATTTTAGTTGAGATTAGTTTAGGTATATAAAGTATTATTTCACTGTGTTCTGCTGCAAATGCGTCTGTAGCACCAATTCGCTCATATGTGACTGGTAAATAGAGAAATGATATTGTAATTAGAGGTTGTATTGACTTATATATGACTTTTCCTAGTAAAGGAGAGTCAGAATATCAAGAGTAGAGTTCAGAGGGGAAGAAAGCTCTGATTTCAACTCTATTTTAAGAAAGTTAAAGGAGTGCCTGCACCCAGGATTCCCTCTCCCAGAGAGGTGTGCACCACCTTTGTTCTTGTAGCCGGGGTTGTGTTCAGAGTCTATTTCTATCTCTAATGTCTCAGTTTCTGCAAGCCAGCATGGCCACTCTGATGTTGTTGTGCATCTCTGAGCATCTCTTGAGGCAGCTCTAGACACACTAAACTGACTGCTTGCATTGTCCAAGTCATCTCCTGGAGTACTAATTATCATCATTATTATTTTTTAAAATTTATTTTTATTTTTAAAATTTGTTTTTGGCTGTGTTGGGTCTTTGTTGCTGCACGTGGGCTTTCTCTAGTTACGGTGAGTGGGGGCTACTCTTCGTTGTGGTGCATGGGCTTCTCACTGGTGGCTTCTCTTGCGGAGCATGGGCTCTAGGCGGTCGGGCTTCAGTAGTTGTGGCACGCAGCCTCAGTAGTTCTGGCTCGTGAGCTCTAGAGCGTAGGCTCAATAGTGTGGCACACGGGCTCAGTTGTTCTACGGCATGTGGGATCTTCCCGGACCAGGGCTCAAACACGTGTCCCCTGCACTGGCAGGTGGATTCCTAATCACTGAACCACCAGGGAAGTCCCTGGGGTACTAATTATGTTACTGCTAGTGCTCTGGTTACAAGGTTGCATAGGTTTTTAGTGGTTTGTTCCAACCTTATTTTTCCCATTCTTTGTTAATTTTAATATGTGCAGAATGTAAGAGTTTTCAGGAACACATATATTGTGTTATAGCAAAAATACCTATACTCTATGAACATAACCCCCAGCAGAATTCAACAGTGTACTATACTTAGTTTCCCTTCCCTATACCACCTTTTGATTGCCTGTGAAAATAGTATTTTTCCTACTTACTTAGTTTTGTCTAACTATAAAGAAAGATGATACCAGTTGTTAAAACACCAAGTCATTCAGAATCAGGAGGCTTTCTATTAGTTTTATCTTATTTAAAAGAAAATATTTATTTATTATTGGGCTGCGTTGGGTCTTAGTTGTGGCACGTGGGATCTTCATTGTGGCATGTGGGGTTTTTCATTGTGGTGTGTGGGCTTCTCTCTAGCTGTGGCACGTGAGCTCAGTAGTTGCAGCACGCGGGCTCTCTAGTTGTAGCACGTGGGCTCTCTAGTTGTGGCGCACAGGCTCCAGAGCACACGGGCTTAGTAGTTGTGGAGTGTGGGCTTAGGTGCCCTGCGGCATGTGGGATCTTAGCTCCCCGACCAGGAATCAAACCTGCGTCCCCTGCTTTGGAAGGTGGATTCTTAACCACGGGACCACGAGGGAAGTCCCAGTTTTATCTTATTAAAGAAGTAGCATTTGGAGTCTGTGCTCTTTTCTAGTCTAGTTGCATTTCATAAGCATTGATAGTTTTGGTATAGAATTCTAAGTTGTAAAGAATATTTCCTCAGGATTTTGAAGGCATGCTCTACAGTTTTCTAGCTTTTGTTGTTGCTAAGAAGTACTAATGAGTGAAAAGTTAAAAAGCTTGTATCATCTTTGTGGTCTAATTCTTAAATTTCACAAGGATGTTCCTTGGTGTGGATCTTTTTTCATCCACTGTGCTGGTCATTTGGTGAGAATTCTTCAGTCTGGAAATTCATGTCTTCAGTTTTTGGAAACATTCTTAAGTTATTTTATTGATGATTTCTTCCTCTTATTACTTTTGGAGACTCCTGTTATTCAAATGTTGGACCTCTTAAATTGATCCTTTAGTTTTCTTATCTTAAAAAATCTCTTTTTCTCTGCTAGATGTTCTCAATTTTATCTTCCAATTTTTGCTGTCATATTCAAAATTTCCAGTAGCTTCTTTTTATTCTCAATGGTTCTTTAGAGCATACTGATCTCATTTCAGTTTCATGGATGCAATGGTTGCTCTTTTCAGAAGTCTCCGTTTTCCTTCATAGTTCCTGATTGTTCCAAGTTAATTTCTTTTTCTAATTGTTTAGGTCTTTGTATCTGTCAGGAAACCAATAGATATCTTAATCAGAAAGGAAAACAATATGGAAAGTAGATGCTTATAAAAAATTATTAGAAGGGTCAGAGAAGCAGTAACAATACCTCAAACACTGTAGAACTGATCTTCTTTGGGAGCTTTTATGTTTGAGGTCACCACTGAAACCACTGAATTGAAAAACAGTGTATAGCTATACTTCAGGACCAGGAAGCTGTCACTGCTGTTGCTGTAAGAATAACTGCCTCAAGACACCAAGCAAACTGGAGAATGGACTTAGAATGGACATTATTTCAGAAAAACTTTACAGACCAATATCCCTTATGAATATAGGTGCAAAAATACTGGCAAACCAAACCCACCAACGTGTAAAAGGATTATACACCATCACCAAGTGGGATTTATCCTGGGAATGCAAGGTTGGTTCAGTCTGTGAAAGTAAACAGTGTAATATACCTTATTAATAGAACGAAGGACCAAAACCATATGATCATCCCAATAAAGGAAGAAAAAGCATTTGACAAAATGTACCAGTCTTTCATGATAAAAATATTCAAATGAGGGATAAAAGGGAACTTCTTAACTTGGTAAAAGGTATCTGTGAAAAACCTGTAGCTAACATCATATTTAATGGTAAGGACTGACTGCTTTCTCCCTAAGGTCAGGAATAAGACAGGGTTGCCCACTCTTACCACTTATATACAACATTGTATTGGAGGTTCTAGCCAGGGCAGTTAAGGAAGAAAAAGAAATTCAGATCAGAAATTCAGAAAAAAAGAAATTCAGATCAGAAAAAAAGTAGTAAAACAGCTACACAGTTGACGCTTGAACAGCATGGGGGTTGGGGGGGGCCGACTTTTGCAAGGCAAAAATCCATGTATAACTTATAGTCAACCCTCTGTAGCCAAACAACTGCAGATCATGTAGTAATATAGTTTTTAGTATTGAAAAAAATCTTCACATAAGTGGACCCTTGTAGTTAAAACCTTTGATGTTCAAGGGTAACCGGTGTCTCTATTTGCAGATGAAATGATTCTAAGAAAATCCTAAGGAATCTGTAAAAAACAAAAACTAAAAACTCTTGAAAGCTAATAAACAAGCTCAGCAAGATTTCAGGGTATGAAAGCAATGTACAAAACTCAGCTGTATTTCTGTAAACTAGCAGTGAACACTTTCAAAAATGAAATTAAGAAAACTTCATTTTCCGTAGCATCAAAGAGATGAAGTACTTAGGAATAAATTGAACAGAAGAAGTACAAGACTTGTATACTGAGAATCACAAAACATTGTTGAAAGAAATTAAAGAAGACCTAAATAAGTGGAAAGACATCCTATATTGATGGATTAGAAGACTTAATATTGGCATATATATATGTATTTTTGGCGGGGGCGGTGTCAAGAAGCAAAAACATCTACTGAATATAAAACTAAAAAAGACAGAGTCCTCCTGGGCCCAAGAGACCCATGGCAGGGAGCCAAGAGTTCTGCATCAGCGCTGCTCTGGGGAGCCCTGGAAGAAGTCATCGCACACGGTAGTGATGAGGGGTAGAAAAACAGTGTACTCCTGGAAGTCCACCTACTGGTTGCTGTCCTCGTCCAGATCACCCATCAGCTTCTTCAGGCCCTCCTCATCCACCTTCTCCGCCACAAAGTTGGGCAGCTCCCTGTGCAGAATTCCTTCATCTCCCCCTTAGTCAGCTTGAACTTGTTGCCCTCTTGGTTGGAGTACTTGTGGAAGGTGGTGACCATCACAGCCAGAACCTGCTTCAGGGGACTGGACATCTTGGATCTGGGGCTGCTGGTCTTGGAGGGTCTCCTGGGGAGGTGGGCGTTGGCTGTGGTTCTTCTGGGACCATGAAAGCTGGTGGCAGACATTTTGGAGAGTATCCATCTGCATGAACTCTCCTCGAGGTGGACATCTTGCCCAGGTAACCAGACTGAGACCTGGCCCCACCCAACAGTCTGTAGGCTCCAGTGCTGGGATGCCACAGGCCAAGCCGCCAACCAGGTGGGAACACAGCCCCACCCATCAGCAGACAGGCTGCCCTAAGACTTCCTGAGCCCACAGCCATGTCTAGACACCTTAATATTGTTAAGATGGCAGTTCTCCCCAAATTGACCTACAGATTCAGTGCAGTTTCTATCAGAATCACAGCTGCCTCGTTTGTAAATTGAGAAGCTGAGCCTAAAATTTAAATGGAAATGCATGGTATCCAGAATAGCCAAAACAATCTCAAAAATCGGAGGAGTCAGTTCTTGGTTTCAAAGTTTACTACAGTAATGTGTGTGGTATTGATATAGGACAAAGAATTTCAGGGTTTTTTTTTTTCCCCCTTTGCGGTACATGGGCCTCTCACTGTTGTGGCCTCTCCCGTTGCGGGGCACAGGCTTCGGACGCGCAGGCTCCGGATGCGCAGGCTCAGTGGCCATGGCCCATGGGCCCAGCAGCCGCTCCGCATGTGGGATCCTCCTGGACCGGGGCACAAACCCGTGTCCCCTGCATTGGCAGGCAGACTCTCAGCCACTGCGCCACCAGGGAAGCCCAGAATTTCAGGTTTTAATGACCCTGCTTGTCAGCAGCAAAATTGCCACAAAGACCAGGACGGTGGCCCCGTGATACTTCCTTCTTTCATTGCTTATGGATGTATTAGAGTACCTAATTTGCATCCAGAAGCCTAGCTGCAAGAGATTCTGGCAAATGTAGGTTTTAGTTTTCTAGTTTAAGAAAGCACAACTGGGAGGGTGGTATGGCCATTGGGTGAGTCAATTCACAGAATTTTTCTCTGAGGTCTGATGACTATTGTATGTCCTCTGTATTCAGAAGTAGGGCTCTAAAAATCTGATGGGAAGCTCTACGCATGAGTGGGGCTTCTTGACTAAGCTTCATTGTGTAACAGTGGAATCATTTCACTGGGAACACCCAGTATCAGTGTCTTCAGGTCTTCTCTCTTGGGCTTTGGCTGCACAGCGTACTTTAAGCTGAGGGAGATTGAGAGGCAACATCAGCATCTGTAAAAGTCCACTGGAATTCTCCTGCCTTTTCAGTATGGTAGTGCTGCCTTTGGCTGTACCAGGTGACACCAGGTCTGAGATTCTTTTTTATTCCTTAGAGAGTAAACCTTTCCTCTTTTATCCTGGTGAATGAGGGGCCATTGGCCCAGGAGCATGGAGTGCGATCTGCTTTGCTTCTTAGATAGATTTTCATCTAGTCCTACTTCAGAGTACCAGGGTATCTCTTGCTATCAGCAGTATCTGCAGTATAAATTAGGTTACTTCTCACATAGCCCTGTGTCTGGCTTTGGGATTCAGCACTCTTGGGTGGACTAAGCTCGTTTTCACTCATCTAATTTCAGCTTCTAAAATTTTGTTCTTTCCTCTCAGTTGTTTTCATTGTGAATTTGTTCCTCAGTTGTTTAGTTGTGTTTCTGTAAGGGGTAATAGTGGAGTAATGTCTAATGTGCCATTTTTACCCAGAAGTTACATCAGGTGTTCTTGCAGCACTGTGTACCTTTTTGTCTTAGACAAGAAAGTTGCTGACAAGTTTGATTTGTTAAGACAATTTTGTGTGATTGACTGATTCCCTTATTAGAGTGGAATCTCTCTGTGGACAGGGCTAGTGTCTGATTTTGCTTCTTGTATCAGCACATTTCCTAGCACTCTCTAGGCTCCCCCAAAATAATTATTGACTTAGTAATAACCATTTTTTTAGGAGACTATTTTCCTATAAGATTGGGTTGCATATAACCCATAGAGGAGCAGTGAAATAACTAATGATACTAGTAACTGTATTGTTGGATAAAATCTGGGTTTGAAAAGTGATTTTCTGATGTGAAAAATGGCTATTGGCATAAAATCAGTCTCTTTCTGACCACACTATATAAAATGATCACCCTCCCCTCTTCTCTCTCTCTTTTTTAAAAATAAATTTTATTTATTTATATATTTATTTTTGGCTGTGTTGGGTCTTCGTTGCTGTGCGTGGGCTTTCTCTAGTTGCGGCAAGCGGGGCTACTCTTCGTTGCGGTGTGTGGGCTTCTGTTGCAGAGCACGGGCTCTAGGTGTGTGGGCTTCAGTAGTTGTAGCACGCGGGCTCAGTAGTTGTAGCTTGCGGGCTCTAGAGTGCAGGCTCGATAGTTGTGGCGCACGGGCTTAGTTGCTCCACAGCCTGTGGGATCTCCGTGGACCAGGGGTTGAACCCGTGTCTCCTGCATTGGCAGGTGGATTCTTAACTGCTGCGCCACCAGGGAAGTCCCTCTGTAACTCTTTATTCTGATTTATTTTTCTTCAAAATACTGATTACCCCGACTGTATAGGTATTTGTTTATTGTTTGCTTCTCCCCAGTATAGGGTACCTTCCATAAGATCAGATGGTATATATATATATATATATGTATATGTATATATATATATATATATATATATATTTTTTTTTTTTTTGCCATACGTGGGCCTCCCACTGTTGTGGCCTCTCTCATTGTGGAGCACAGGCTCTGGACGTGCAGGCTCAGCGGCCATGGCCCACGGGCCTAGCTGCTTCGCGGCACGTGGGAACTTCCTGGACCGTGGCACAAACCTGTGTCCCCTGTATCGGCAGGCGAACTCTCAACCACTGCGCCACCAGGGTAGCCCCGGGATGGTATATTTTGTTTGTTGCTGATTTCCACACACCCAGATCAGTGGCCTGGCGTATATAACGAAGTTGTGATTGTTGGTTGTTTTTTTTCCCCAATAAGTCATTTTTTGTTAGGACTTAAACTGTATGTGTCCACTCCCCACTCCTGTGTCTATTATGTCAGTGGATTTCTTTTGTTCAGAGAAATGGTTCTGTGGTCCAGTGTTGGTCTTATTTAATACTTTTCCTAATTTTAATCTGATTGCAATTAGGGATTGCCTGATTTTTTTTTTTTTTTTTTTTGTGGTACGCGGGCCTCTCACTGTTGTGGCCTCTCCGGTTGCGGAGCACAGGCTCTGGATGCTCAGGCTCAGCGTCCATGGCGCACGGGCCCAGCCGCTCCGCGGCACATGGGATCTTCCCGGACCGGGGCACAAACCCGTGTCCCCTGCATCGGCAGGTGAACTCTCAACCACCGCGCCACCAGGGAAGCCCAGCTACTCTTACATAAGGTGAACCTGACAATCTATAGTAGCTTCTCAAAATTGCTAAGAAGTGATCTAAGCAACCAGAGAGTTGCCTAGTATTTTGCTATAGAATATTATGAATGGGACTTAAAACTGACCTCAGAGTCAGTTTTGGTTTCCGTAAGCTGTTGTTTTATCTGACATGTGAAGGCAGTCATTTAAAAAATCCAGATGTTTGAATTTCTATTTTTTATCTTTAGAAACATGAATGTTTCTTGTCTGTTTTTTTCAGATGTGTAGCTTTTAAAAGGCTGTATTCTTAAGTCTATCAATATTATAGTTTGGGTGAATTTTTCCGTAAGAATACACATCTCCAACAGATTTTATGCATTTAGCAAGCATTTGGTGAACACAAATTCTTGCCCTTATCTATTCTTGTATATATGCAGTGTAATAATCTTTGGTGGGTTTCATGGAAATGCCATTTAATATCCAAAAACTAATTTTGTATACCTTTTTCTAGATATGCAATTATTCTATCTCTAAGAGACCATCTAATAATTTAGGTCTCATTTTCAATTGCTTTATGTAACACTTTGTTCTTATATTTCTGTATATGAGAATCAATGAACAAGGACAAAAGTACTTGCGAAAAAAGTGAAAATTAATGGCGCTTGTAAAAGAAGGAATCCAAACCCAAGCATGTGTATAGATCCCATACTGAAAATGAACATGGATTCTTTGTTCACGGGTACATAATAGGTGATTTAGAGAAGCTGAGTTCAGGGACTTTTGTGGCTGTGTTACTAGTCAAACTAGAAAATTCATTCAGCTGAGCGTCTGTGATATATACTGACTTGTATGGTATAAACTGACCAGTGAAATGTTAACAGAAAGGCAATAATTTGCCATGCTTGATTAAAACTGTAATTTTTAATTAATAGTTTTTAATTTAAAAACTGTTCTGTAATGAGTTTCAGAATATGTCCTAAGTATGTGTTTGTCCCTCCAGTTCTGCTTCTTAATTTTTCACACTAATTCTTTGTTCCCTGTTTAAGTGGTCAGTCTAATTTTTCGAGTGTTAAAATTACAATATGATTCAAGTAGTTATTATATCTCACTAGGTCTTAAGTTATTTTCTGTGTCATATATATGTGATATGACTTTATTTAAATGCTCTACAATTACTACCTAGCAATGATGCATTTACCTTCATTCATTTTCCAGCAATTCTGTAATTGGTTGTATTTTCTTTCTTTCTTTTTTTTTTAATATTTATTTATTTTGGCTGTGCTGGGTCTTAGTTGCGGCACATGGGATCTTCATTCCGGCATGCAGGATCTTTAGTCGTGGCACGTGGACTTCTTAGTTGCAGCATGCAGGCTTCTAAGTTATGGCATGCATGTGGGATCTAGTTCCCCAACCAGGGATTGAACCTGGGCCCCCTGCATTGGGAGTGTGAAGTCCTACCCACTGGACCGCCAGGGAAGTCCTGGTTGCATTTTATAATCTCCACTTCCTTATTGGTGGGAGTAGTCTGGAATGGGGTACCCTTAGACAAATAAAGGATACCCCTGAGGGAGTGGGATACTTGAGTCATCCAAACAGAAAGGGTAGTACAGAGTCCTAAGCGAGCAGACACTGAGTTCCAGAGCCAGGTAGTTCAGTGCAGAAGCCAGGGTTGAAATGCTGATCTGAAAACAAGTCAAGTTCAAAGAGTTGGTAAGTTGAAAAGCCAAGATGATTAAAGCAGTGAAGTACAGTGGTATTGCTGGTAGTCAGAGGTGGTCAGGAGTAATTCAGAAAGTAGCAAGTAACGAGTTGCATTTAGGTTAGTCCTATAGGCCTCAGGAGATTATAAGGACAGGTCTCAGATTGTTAATTAGAACCAGGTTCTGTTGGAGAAGTACATCACTGAGGCTATGTCTTAACTCTTGACTCACTGCTATAGAATGTTAACAGGAATGTAAATGTATCCTTTCCAGTTAATTATTT